CCCCGCCGTGCCCTGCGCAGACACGGCCCTGCAAAATCACGACTTTCGGGTTTTTTAAGCCTTCGGGGTGGTTTTTTGCCAGCTTTCCTCTGCAGCTGGGAAAGGTCTGAGCAAGCTCTGCGCTTTCAAAGGGAAAAGCTGAGAGCAGCCCAAAGGAAAAACCCTCCCAGGCTTCTGCAGGAGCAGGGGGAGCCTGCGATGAGCCCCCCCTGCCAGAGCTGGGTCCTCTTTTCTGCGTGATTTTCCCTTTGCACAGAGCCCATCTAAGCCAAAGGGGCAAAACCAGCTCAGCAGGGGAGAAAGACAAAGGCAGAGAAAAATGCTCCCTCCGGGAAGGAATTCCCACCCAGGCAGACCCTGCAGGGCTGGGGCAGGGGTTATTACACAGGGCCAGCCCCAGGTAGCAAGTCACCCAGAAAAAACATCACTGTATCCCCAGTTAAGATCCAAGCATTTTCATGAGCCCGATGGCAACCAGAAAGCTGGAGTTAACAAAGCCACCACCCCTGTATAAATTATGTTGACTCCAGCTTCACAAAGAGCAGCGGCCCCAGGAATCAGCCCATCCAGCCCCACGTCCCAGCGGGAAGGGAGGCAGCCAAGGAGCAGACGGAGGCCGTATCCCCGCGGGGTCCTGGCTCGTGAGAGCAGACCCCCCCGAGCCAGCCCCTGGGACACTGCTGAACACCTCCTCGCCCCGCGGAGCCAGCGCACGGGGATTATCACCCGCCACCGGGTATCGCCAGGGAGCTGTATGCAGGCAGCATCAGGCTGCAAATGCTGCTGCCGTGCCCAGGAAACACCCTGGAAGTCTTCAAGCCGCAGCACCGGCATCACCCACTCTGCAGAGACCAAGCAGCACCCGGCAGCATCCACAGGCACCCATCTGAGCGAACGGCTCCGAAAAGCGGGGTAGGTTTCCAGCAAGACGCTTGAGTTCAGTGCCGCAGCCGGCTGCCCCCTTGGGCAGTACACAGAGGAGCTCGCCCATGCCAGCCTGTGCCTTGTCCTTTTTTATTGTGCCAAAAGGGCCCCCTTCACACCTACGAGCACCCCTTCCAGCTCGACTCGCCACGGGCTGTGATTCAGCGTCGTCCCAACTGCCCCAGTGAGGCCGCAGACTGAAATTCAGCCAGCATCGTGTCCTCAGCCCCACCTGCGACGCCTGCCCCGGCCCCGAGACAGCTGGATCGGGTGGTAGGCACCAAGCGAGCGCTCACCCTGCCTCGTCCTTGGGGCTGTTTCACTCCCCCCGTCCGTAATTTCTTGTAAAACCAGAATGTTTCCAGACTTGCCATGCAAGGACGCTATTTGCACCAGCTTGTGTTTTAATGATGCTGTTTATGTCTTATTTGTCTTGCAATCACTGTCATCATTATTTCATGAAATAATTAGAGGAAAAGCCACGCAGCCCTCAATTCACTCCCCACAAAGCCCTCCCCCTCCCCAACAGCTCCCTATCTGTCCAGTCCTTCTGCTTAATATTGCTGGTTGCCCACATCAGATAAGGCCCCAGAAGGAAACAAACAGGCTCCTTTAAAATGAGAGACATTTGTGGATTAAATTAAATCCCTGCACTAATTCAATCAGAGACTCTGCTGCTCTTCAGTGGCATGGAGGATATGAGCAGGAGCCCTGCTACTAAGTGAGGTTTCCATCTCGGGTTGAAAGCATCACCGGGGCTGTGAAATCCTGTCCTCACAGAAAGGGCCGTGGCTGATCTCTGCTCAACATCACCTGATGGTGGGGGAAAGACAGGGAAGGAAAGCGGTAGTAACGCCTTCAGGGCCAGCCGACCAGCCTGATCATGGCTGGAGGCATCAGGGACTTCATCAGCACGAAGCCAAGGGCCACCTTGCTGCATAAGGCTGATTTGGGCCAGCAAGGACAAGGATGCGACCAGGTTTCCTTCTCACCGTCATCGTGGCCAAGGGCTGTGGGAGGAGGCAGCAGATGGACGCAGTGCTTGAAGCTGCCTGAGCAGGGAGGTGTTGTCCTTCCGCCTTCAGGACTCCAAACATCCCGTGGTCTCGCTGCAGCATGGGGCCCTCTCCCTTGGCCAGCAACAGTAGCTCAGGAGACAGCAGCCAACATCTGGATCTCTCCATCCTCAACATCTTGGTCTCACTGGTCTCAACATCTGGGTCTCCTGACCCTCAACATCTGGGTGTCCCTATCCCCAATATGCAGGTTTCCCTGTTTGCAGCATCTGCATCTTCCCATCCTCAACATCTGGGTCTTCCTGCCCTCAATGTGTTGATCTTCCCATTCTCAACATCTGGGTTTCCCCATCCTGAGCCAGAAGGCCTACGGGCTTTACTATCCCCTCCTGGGAGAACCTCACACTTCACTGTTTCAGTTTCTATCTCAGACTAAGCGGCCAAGGCAGCATGTCCCAAGAAGGGGAAGAGAAAGTAGAAGAACGAGCTGCCTCCGAGCCCCAGGATGGCTGTCAGGGGTAACCTGGGGGGAGAAGGGTGATAGGTCTGAGATCAGAGCAACAGCAGTAGAGAACCTGATATCATACTGAACAATCCTCAACACACCCCAAAAAAGACAAACATTGCCCTGCCCGCTCCAGCATCCTCAGTCTCTGCACCTGTATCCTGCTGCCTGGACTCCCTCTGCCTTTGGGCATCTCTCACTGGCTCCAAAGTTTTCTTGAAATTAAGACGGGAGCGAAGCACTGCAAACCCTCTGCTCTTCAGTTCGTCATTTGATCTTTTTTTTTGTAGTTGCTGCTAGCAACCAGAACTGCTCTAGTTTACCAGCAGAGCAAATTCCAGTGAACAGATGTGGGTTTGTCAGCGTGGCCTCAACTTCTCCAACACTTCTTTAAATAAGGTGCCCTTTCTGGTGGCCCACAGCCGGGACTTCCAGCTGGGAAAACACCAGCCACAGAGACGGCACAGCTGTGAGCTGGAGCCTGCACCGGCCTTGCCCTGGTGCTGGCAGCTCCCAGGCTGCCAGCGCTGCCGTGATATGTGGCATTCCCTTAAATCTCCAGCTCTGCGAGGTCAGGGATTTTTTTGAGGCTCTTGGCTTCTTATTTCAAAACCTCTGCTCCTCGCAGTCATGGAGCTGCAGTGGCTCAAGCAAAGCCTGGACACAAGAAAACTGAATTCAGCCTTTCCTGGCTCCTGACGTGGATGTTCAGGCTTTGCAGTACTGGGGAAAAGGAGGCTACACACGCCTAGCAGAACTGCAGCACCCTGCTCCTCAGCCAAAATCAGGGACTGGGAAAAGCAGAGACGTCCCTGCAGGTAACAGCCTGGGAAGAGCGAAGGACACTCTGCTCCGACTGCGCCCTCCCCTCGGGAGGAGGCAATGGAGCTCCTGAGGTACTGCTGGAAGAGCTGCTCTCAGGGTCCATCCCCGACCACGGCAGCCCCATCCTCTGTGAGTCCTGTGGAGGAACCTCTCCAGCTCCTGCTGCCCTTAAACCTACCTTTGCTCAAAGGTGCCTCACCTGTCCCCAAAGCATTTAACTCCGTGGGCATGAGACCAAGGCCCTCTCCAGGGGCACTTCGGGGAGGACACAGCCAGCTTTGCTGCTGGCACTGCGTTCCCCGTGCGGAGGTAACATCCCTCCCCAGGGCAGATGGGATGCGGGAAAAACAGTGCCTACATCAACTGGGGAAACATCAATGTCTCCAAAGTAGTTTTTTCCTAAAGCGGAAGAAAAAAATTTACAGTTTCAGTTCTTAGCATGGGACAAACTGTGCCCAGATCCATCAGATCAGAAACGTCTAACCGGCCCTGTGAAACGCTGCCAAAGCCGTTGATGAAGGCCATCCTCAAGACTTAAAAAGTGACCACTAAGAACCAAGTAAGCACATGGCTACAGGAAGCAGCGTCAAGTACGGAGCACGGGGCTGAGAGGAAGAAAACAAAGCCAGAAACACAAAGCAGAACTACTGAAACTTGAGGAAATTTTCACGGGAGTCATTTTGAAAGTGCTCACGAGGAGCATGCCCCGCGCAGCTCCGCTCTGCCCTCCCTGAGCCGTAATGGCTCTGTGGGGCCAGCCGGAGCCAAGGGCTCACTGCACAGCAGGGTTTTCTACACATTCCCAGCTTCATTACTGAACTGATGAATAATTGATACAGAGCAATTAGTGTAAGAGCAAAAGCGAGCGTGGATTATAAATCCAAACAGCAAGATCTAACAGCGTGCCGGGGCAGGGCGGCGGGGGTGGGTATGTGCCTCCGACGAGACACCCATGGTGGCATGAGCATTTGTACCACCCAAAAACCCGGGGCTGGAAACGCCTCGGAGCCCTGGAAGGAGCAGTCCTCCTCTGCGGGAAGGGATGCTCCCATGCCAGCAGCCTGCGCTAACCCCGTTACCCCGTTACCGTCATCCCCAGCCGATTGCTCTGCAGACGGGGTACGGCCCAGCCCCGGCGCTGTGGTGGCCGCACTCCGCACGTCTCCC